AATTATTATTTATTTTAGATAATTAAAATAGAGTGTATTAAGAAGAGTTACAAGGCAATTAAGAATTGGGTGGTTAAAATTGAAAATCTCAAAAATTAAATTAATGACTAAAATTTAAATAATTAAAATTAAATTGTGAATTTTGTAATAAATAATACCGAATGAATTTTAGTAGCTCAATTGGTTGATTATATGAATTTTTACATTTTTGTGAGTCAATTTATTTATTTTAGTTTCACTATCTTCAATCTCTTTGAATTTATTTAAAAAATAATAATTTAATTTCATCTGATATATTATTATTATATTATATATATATATGTATATATATATCCGTCGATGAGTTCTAAAGTTTCTTTCTATTAAAATAAAATTACAAAGAGAGTTGGCAAGCAAACAAAGAAAATGCAAGTAAGAAAGAAAGAAGTATAAGAAAAGATTAAAATGGAAAGAGAAAAAGTAAGGAAATGAAACAAGTACAATATGGGCCCCACAATTATCTTGCAATTCCTACTCAAACTTTACATTCTCTCTCCTTTTGGTTTCATTTTTTAGCCTTAACTAATAATTTGGGCCCCACGATCCACATGTCAAAAAATGGGTGGAGCCTCTTCCAACTTTGGTTGGTTGGGCCTCACCCATAGTAAAATTTTTCAGCACTCACAACTTCGAAAATGTATTTACGATTAAATTCTATGAATTAATATTTTTTGTGCATACTATCAATTTTCTCTTTACTAGTTGTTTTTATCAACTTTCACTCATCTAGTTAATTAGTTGAGATGAATGTATATTTTGTGGTGATAAAGTTTCTAAATAATATGAATGATCAACTTTCAATTACTTTTTTCTTATCCTTTGTAAAGTACAAATGATCAACTTTTGTTATATGGGTGGTTAAATATGTGTTGAATAAAATAATGTAAAATTAAATATTAAAATTACATCCTAACTTGCAATAAATAGTGTGAAAATAGTTTTATGAAATGTACCTACAACTTCTGATGTTTATTTCACTATCTAGCAAAATAACTACAATGGTATTACTGTAGCTGAAGGATCGTGTCATTGTAGTGTACTATTTGAGTTAGTTCACTCTGATGTATGGGGACCTGTCATTACTTTTTTTTATCGGGTTATAATAATTTGTGACTTTTCTCGAATTCAAAACCTCATATAGATTTTTATATACATATATTTGCTCATAAAATACTATATCCTAAAAATATACTTATAGAGTTGAGAGAATAAACATAGATTGTACACACTATTATTTTTCTCTTCATCATTTATTGTTCATTTCACCCACTTTTCCTCCACCAATTAATTTGTGAAGATAATAGTGCATTTGAGGTAAACAAGTTCACAAATAACTTAACTGGATGTACTTATTACTTTTGATGTCTTATTTTGTTGTATAGGAAAAACATTATGATGTTATTACAGAGGAAATATCGTCCCAGCACCAATACCTCTCCCCCAATTTGGAATTTGAGGTAACTTTTAATATATTTATGTCTAGTCAACGAACATTAAACTTTGAATATATAATTTACTAAATAAAAAAATATTAATAAAGTTTGTATAACTATCATTTTTCTCTTCACTCTGTTATCCATTTAACAACTTTTCCTCCCCAATTGATTAGTAGAGATGATTTTATATTTTGAGATGAATGCATTTTCCTAACAGTTGGCATATTGACTTCAATTTAGTTGTTCTTAGATATTTTAGAGCATAAATTTAAGATATTTGTTCGAGGTGAAAGGGTTCACAAGCAATTTGACTGGTTAATTTTTAATTTTATTTCTTAATTTTTTGTAAAACATATATGAACGGCTCTTGTTATATGAAAATCATTAATTTTATGATAGATAAAATAATTCAATAATGACATAACCTGTAAATACATAGTGCAAATAATTATCAGTAAGCATACTTGTAACTTTTGATATCTTTTTTCAATGTGTAGCAAGAAAATTAGGGAGATTTACCTATGTTTGATAATAGTGGATTATGTTCAGAAAATTTAATTACAATAAACTTCTATTAATTAAGAATATTTGTAAACACTATTATTTTTTTGTTCACTAGTTGTTCTTTATGAACGCTCTTACAATTTTGGTGTCTTATTTCACTATGTAGCAAAACAATTATGGTGATATTACTGTAGATGAAATATTGTTCAATCTCTGTGATGTTCTCCCGAATTCAGAACCTCAGGTAAATTTTCATATCCATATGTTTGGTCATAGATTAATATAATTTAAAAATATACTTACAAAGTTGAGAGAAATAAAAATGTTGTAATTTGATTGGTTAATTTTTTATTTAATTATTACTTAAATTATTGTAGAAAACATACGATCAACTTTTGTTATATGAAAGGTTAATTTTGTGATGCATAGAATAATTTGATAATGAAACTACAAACTATATCATTACTGTGAATATATAGCGCAAATAATTGACGATAAATATGCTTACAACATTTAGAGTTTTATTTCAATGTGTAGCAAGACAATCACAGAGGTATTACTATAGAGGAAGGATCCTTCCAACTCAACTGTAATCCTTCACATCCAGAACTTGAGGTAGTTTCTCATAGACCTATGTTTGATAATAGAGCATTATGTTCTAAATATGTTCTTATCATAAAGTTTTATTAATTAAGAATTTTTGCACACACTGTCATTTTTCTTTTCATTAGTAATATTCGAGTGATGGTTACCATCCGAACAATTCTCTTTTCTTGATTCTTTCCACCCACTTTCATTACTCTAGTTAATTAGTTGAGATGATTGTATTTTGAGGTGAAAGAATTTTGGAATAATTTTGATTAATTAATTTTTACTTACCTTTTTGTAGTGTACAAATGCCCAACTTTTATTATATGACTGGTTAAATATGTATTGAGTAAGATAATCCAAATTTAAATATCAAAATTATATATAGTAACTTGTGAATAAATTGTGTGAAAATAATTTTCATGAAATGTACTTACAACTTTTGGTGTCTTATTTAACTATGTAGCAAAACAATCATGGTGATATTACTGTAGATAAAAGTCCATTCAATCTCTGTAATTCTTTCGTGGATTTGGAACCTCAGGTAATTTTCATCTACTTATCTCTAGTAATAGTATACTATATTCAATATCTATATTTACAAAGTTGAGAATAAGAAAAATTGTACACACTATTATTTTTCTTTTCTCTGTCTATCTTTTACCAATTTTCCCTCCACTGGTTAACTAGTGGCGATGGTAGTATATTTGAAGGTAAACGAGTTAAAAAATAATTTGATTGGTAAATTTTTAATTACATTACTAACATTTTTATAGACAAATAATTGACCTCTGTTATATAATGTTAAATTTATGTTGTATAAGATATTTTAATAACAAAACTTGTGACTATATCAAAACTTGTTAATACATAATTAAAATATTTTCAGTAAATATTCTTACAACTTTTAATATCTTATTTCACTATATAGAAAGAAAATTATAGAGGAATTATTACAGAGGAAAGATCGTTTCAATGACATTATGTTCCCCAAAATTTAGAACTTGAGGTAGTTTCTCATGTATCTATGTTTTGTTATATAGAAAAATATTATTTATAGAGTTAAGAAAAGTTAAAAACTTGTACACACTATCATGTTTTCTCTACAAATTTTGTTCAGTTTACCCAGTACTTTCCCTAGTTAATTAGTGGATATGGTTATATATTTTTAGATAATCGAGTTGATAAAAAACTTGACTGGTAAATTTTGAATTTGGTAATTTCTTAAATTTATGTAGAATATGAATGATCAACCTTTGTTATATGAAAGTTTAAATTATTTTTGTATGAGATGATTATATAATGAAACTCAAAACTATGTCCTAATTTCTGAATGCATAGTGAAAATAATTGTCAGGAAATATGCTTATAACTTTTGGTATGTTCTTTCACTGTGTAGCTATGAAATTTCGGAGGAATATTGATCAGATGTCTGTGAATTATGAATATGAATTTTGGAGGTGTCTTCTTTCAATGTGGAGCTTTCGTTGTTAGGTGACTTTGTGTTAAATCTGTTGCCGGATATGGTCATTTGCTGCATCCCCTCTCTAGATATGGAAACAAATTTACCAAACTTCATAATTTCACTACCTTTTAGTTTTCACTTTCTTTTGTGTAATCCAGTTATATTTTCAAGTAGTAGTATGTGTTTTGAGTTTTCATACTTCATACATTTGAGTCTGTTTTTATTAGTATGCATGGGTGATCTTGTCTTATTATGTGGTCACCAATTGAAAAGTAAGAAAATCATTCACTTTTATATAAACAATATTATGAAATTTGTATTATTACTAATATATATTTCATGTAAATTATTACAAAATTAGTATTACTACATTTTAATGGATTAGCATTTGATATAAATATTATTATTACGAAGGCACATTGTAATATAAAGTTGTATAGTAGGTTAGAACATATAGTTAAGTTATAGATTATAAAATTAACACATATAAAATCGTATTTTCATTTATCATTTTCTTTGTTTTGGCAACAATAAAATGATATCATATCACAAGTGTGTTACTTAGTTGTAATTGGTAGTTAAGGAATTTGTAAAGCCCCACAACTTCTTAGCAGAGATTCGAATCATCCTCCGTATGCATATAAGTCCGAATCTGATGATTTTTAAGTTTTACATTATTTTAAGGTTCTCTATTAAGTGTAGTAAGTGTATCGTATGTAGTTTAGGGTCCTAAGGTACCTCAAACACCAATCAAAGTTCAATGCATTTCTATCGGCTAAGTTTTCGCATGAGTTCATGTAAGAGTAACTTCAAATGACTATATATTTTAGATTATAAAGAGTTAAGTGACTCATAATGTATGAAACTAAAGGTCTATGAGTATTCTTTTCAACGCCGCCAAGATTGCATCAATTCGAGTTCAGAGTAAGATATTATGACTGATTTACTAGAGATGCTTTAACCTAACAACCGTTCCGCGATGGCTCCTCGATATGGAGAGAAAGGGGACCTCACTGCCCACTTGAATAAAATTTCGTCGGGCAGCTCCAATTATGTAATTTTTGGGGTATTTTTGTCCTAAAAATCTTCAAGTGTTTATCTAAATGGCCATAAACGTGTAGCAAATTAGTTTTTCAAAATTAAGTCCTCTCATTTACTTCTAAAATTCTATGCTGAAATACCAAGGTTGCCGTTCTTCTTCCAAGATTCTTCCATCAAGCCTCTCTACTAAGGTATGTAGGACACCAATGAACAATTTCTTTCATCCTCATGTCCAAAACTTCTAAATGTTTATGAATTTCGTTCCATAATTAGGGTTTTTAAACCCACTTCCAATTTTGCCATTTTTAGGATCCAATTGCATGATTTTTTGAACTTACTTACTCATGATTATGTATTTTGATTGCTGTATTTCCTTTTTATGTTTAGCAAGATTTTTTATTGTCATTCTTATTAGTTCTTGACATGATTTTGTGTCACGCCCGGGGCCTACACCCTGGACATGGCCGATACTCGAGAACCATTGCTGGTCCCCAAGCGAATCCTTGGTGTAGCTGACTATGGTACATACGACTCAATAGGATACACGGAAACTTTAATAGATGAGTATTTAAAACATATAATCAAAACTTGCAAAACAATGACACTACTGGTCAAGTGTGACGGGCTGTTACACTTGTGATGGGACGTCACTCTATCCATCACACACTTCCAGGTTGGAGCGTCTTTGGTAAATTAGTCTATCTCAGAGTTATGGTCGTTTGTAGTTTACCCTTGTGTGATCTCATGTGAAAAACTTAGCCAGTAGAAATGTTTTGAACTCGACTTAGTGCAAGAAGTCCCTTGTGACCCTCAACCACATAGTTACACTTCCCACACTATGGAATGTGCCTTGGCATACCCATAAAAATTATAAATAATTGGATATGGCCTTTACGTATATGAAGAATGGTTTTAATCTTTCCTTAAAAATTGTAGGGTGTTATACTTACTTTAAAATTACTCCAAAAGAAGTGGTTCCCTTTTTTCTTCTAGTTACTAGCATGAATCTCTCATTCACACGAAAAATATTTTGAAATTAGATATTTTCAAAATTTTCTAATCTATCTGACTTTTCAATGTTTGTCTATAAATTTGTCTTCACGTGCCTTACACATGTATGTCGAGTCATATAGTTATTACACATTTTAGGTTAGCCTTGCATGATACTATACACACTAATTATTGATATAAAAAATACCTTAGTTCACATCAATTAATATCATAGAAAAGCAAACAATACAATTGTTCATAACGCAAATCTTGGCCAAAATAGTTTACACACATAAATCAGCCTTATTATATTGTTACACACATAAAATAGATAGCTTCTTAGTCAAAGCCATGCCATGAGATAGTGGAAGTGTCTTAGTAGTGGCAAGGTGAGTAGTTGTAGCAAACATATTTTGCCCAGTAATATTTGTGACCTCATGGTTTGTACTTCTTACCGATGTCATATTTAGCTCTATAGTAGTGCTTGCAATGATAATTACATTTGTAAAAGTATTGACAAGACCCATTCCACTTGTCACTTTTTTTCCAACTGTATTTGCCTTTTGCCATTTGTATTTCTGCAACAATGAGAAAATTGGAAACTCATGGTATGTACTTGACATAGAAAATTTAACTTATTGGACATGTTTGACTAGTCACAAAGTTTAATAAAAAATAAAAGTTTTGTCTATAAATTTGTCTTTACGTGCATTACACATGTATGTTCAAGGATTACGTTGGATGTTTGCTTAATTAATTTATAAGATGGATACTTAAAATGACACATCAAGTGCAAATAATTAGTCCAACACAATTAGCATTTCTTTAATTGAAGAGAATTTGAATTGACCAAAAGAGCCATTGAGTAATAAACTCTTCTATTAATTGATCAATTCTCTATCTCCACAAATTTCTTTTATGAGGTCAAACATGTTATTTTAGTACTGAAGAATCAAGTTTAAATTTTAGATTAAAAACTTCACTAAATCAAGCAGGTATAGGTTACAAACCAATAAACGAATGAAATATATAAACTATATACCTTTCATCCTTATCAATTAACCTATTCAAAATGACTTATTTTCCAAGAATAATTTTGAATGTGTGCGAAAAGCTAGTGTATGTCTAAATATCGCCAATGTAGTTGGTTAATATCTGAAGAGGTATCTAAGGTCACTCAACTTGAGAGTTTATCTAGAAAAGTCATCGAACTTTATTTTGTATCAATAAAATCACTCAACTAAATTTATCATTAAGAAAATTGACATAGTTAAACAAAATTTACTTTTATGCCATGTAAATATGAACTCCACAAATCGATAAAATTAAAGGAAACCATCAATGAATTTTTACAAGAAAACGTAATTAGTAAAATAATTATTATAGTATTACTATATTTTAAAATTTAAAATGTATCCTGATGAATGTATTCCTATCAAAAAATGAGAAAAGAGAACTAGCAATTGATGAAATAAGTAATATGATAAAGAATACAAAATAGATGAATAAGAAAAGAATCGTTTTTCTAAAAAAAAAAAGGACAAAACTTTAGAATGGAATAACTGTAAGGAACAAAACTTATCGGGAATATTGGAGACTTATGCAATTTCGAAGCTTGTATCATCCTCCACAACTTGGATCCTTGTCATTAGGGCAATGTGCCATGGCAGGCAAAATTGGAGTTGGTGTGGGAGTAGCATCAAGAAAAAGAGTTTGTGGTAGAGTGATAAGTAATCTTTCATCCTTAACCAGAGCTCTCGGGTTCGAGTCCCCCCGGGAATGGAGTCTCCTTCGTTAGGGAGCACTTTACCCCTTAATGTAGGATTTTCCGGCGCGAATTCAAATTTAGAGGGGCACCAATCTGGGTGCTGGACACCGGATGGAAAATATTAAAAAAAAAGAGCTCGAATTTATGTACTAACATTGGTAAGAAAATGTTACAACCCGAGCCTATGCCCTGGACATGGCCGACACTTGAGAACCATTGTTGATCCCAAGTGAACCCTTGGTCTGGCTAACTACTTAGCGGAAGATTAACTCAAGCCAAATTAGACTTTAAAACAAAATCAAACCATTTAATCTCAAAGTACTCAACTGTCTCAAAATACTCTAAAAACAACAATAGTTGAAAAACATTTTAACAAAGGAATACCGAAAACATACTCAAAACCAACTATCTACGAAGCCTCAATTGTTAAAGACGGATGTCGGGACAAGACCCACGACACTTCAAAGAAACTAACTAAAACAAAAAAGCGGAGACCTCCAGAAATCAAGGAGGCTCATCAAAAACTAACTAGGAGTGCAAATTGATCTCAATGAAGCACATGTTGATGATCATGAACACTTGTATCTTCATGATAAAAAGGTGTAGGTTGAATGACACCATTACACTGAAGGCACGAGTATGTAACATAGTCAAAGCAAAATGATTGAATAAAAGGGTTGCAATCGATATAGATATATACTAAACCGAATGTAAAGAAATAAAGGAGTGAAATAATTTAAACTTTACCAATACTTACTCATCTACTCAACATATTAAGTGATATGATAAAAAAAATACATTTTAAACTCTATTTGGGAGATTCTGCAACCAACAACCATCACTATGAGTAACATAATGATATAATGTCTTGCCCACATTGCTAGAACTGTCCTATACCTTGTTGGGATATAGAACATCTCAACTAAGTGGATCAACTCAAGCTATGGTCGAAAGAAATAAGGAGTCTTCTAAAAAGTACATCCTTAGCCCATGTTGGCTAGATGGTTTATGAGGAATGTGAGTTTTCTGAACTCATCCCCATATCGGTGCTTAATACTACTCCCAATAAATATATACTCATGCTCAAGTAAAAATACTCTTTCTCTGTTTTGAGGTAATTACTCAAAAGTTCCTCTTTAAGAATAACTCAATAATAGAGTTCATGCCGAAAAACAATCAACTCAAGAATGTCAATGCAAGATATAACAACTCAAAAATCAGAAATATTACTCAGAACTCAACAACAAAACTCATCTCAAGAATAATCAAAACCAAGAATGTAACCCTAAATTATGCTTTACTGATAGAAAGTAGACGTAGGGCGTGAGGAAGGATTCAGTTCATCACTATGAGTAGCCTTACATATCTGGAAGAATGATGTTCTTGGGGGAAACTTAGAGATCAACTT